CATACCGTTTGCATGTGCTTTGTTGACCGTAAGGACTACCACCGGATCTCACGCAACATTCTGTGTTCGTGCTTGCAGGCATATCGAGGCTACGCCACCCAATCACTGTATGCCGATGGCACCTGCTGTATTAGAGCAAAGTGGAAGTCTTTCAGCATCGGCCCTGGCTTCCGTCAAGGTTGCTTTCTGTCTCCTGTTTGTGTTGTACATGGATAGAAAAATCAGGCGCAGCCTGGACGATGAAAGTATCGGGTAGAGATGTCGAGACGAGAATGTTGCTATCCTGACGACCTTGTTTTGTTGGCATGTACTGCAACTGATCAAGCGCTCTATGGAATGTGTCACACAGTCGAGTGTAAAGTGACCGGAATGCTTGTGAATATGTCTAATATGTAAAGCAGGGTTAGACGTGGCCGGGTGAACGTACCTAAAACAAAAAGCCTACTTTTTTGTTTTCCTTGCCGTTTCTGTCTTCAGACTAACAGAAATGCAGTGGAGAATGTGAAGAAGTTCAAGTACCTCGGGTTCATGTTTACTGGTAATGGAAAATCTGAGGAAAAGATCAAAGGCGGTGACGTTCTGCGTGAACTAGCCTGAACCATTGTGACTAATGCTGAGCCGAGTCTGAAACGTAAGCTCTGGGTGTTGAAGTCGATCTTCATTCCCATGCTTACCTACGGTCATGAGCCATGGACTATGACTGAAAAACTCTGATCCCGGGTGCAGGTGACTGAAATGGGTTTTTCTGAGTCTAATCGATGGGCTGACGCGTGTTGACGTATCCCGGTGTTTAGATATACGATAGAACCTTGCAGTGGTTTGGGCTTGTTATGCGAATGTCTCCATAAAGTACGGCGAAACAACTACTACTTTTGCCTAACCGACCGACAGAACGTCCAGAGAACGTGTGAGATTTTTCTATCGCAATCTCGGACTCTGTTCTAGACTCCGGCTGTCTTCTGCTGAAACTCAAACAGTGGAACAGGGTCAGGAAAGTAGCAGACACTGATCTGATATGACACCATGTCTGTCATGTTTGTGTGGGCGATCCGGTGGTAAGCGGTCACTCTCTGAATATACAGTGGTGCCAGGCTATTGTACTGAACAAGAAATTGAAGTTAACCCATAACCGTCCGTTGTAAGTAGAATATGTTATTATAGTACAATATGTCAGGCTGTATGCTCCGTTGTAGGCTCTACTGACAAATCTATTTTCTTTGGTGTATCTGGTAGAGTTTAATGTTGTGTGGCACATCATTATGTGCTATATCTTGCGACAGTTTGTTTTACTGTCGTAACTCTTACAAATGCAATATTGTGTCGTACAATATAGTATAAATTGCTGCATAATAAGATACCAAGCTACTACTGTGCAGCACAGTTCAGCTGCGCTGACGCGCTGTATTGATTGCTCGCCGTCGACAGCTCAATGATCATGTTGGTCTGCAGCGTCCTAATGACGGTTTTGATAGCAGCCGTTGGACCGAAGAATATTTCGAAGATGGAAGTAGTTGATAATGAGCTGCTCATTAGCTTTTAAAAGGTCATTAAGAACGGGTAAATTTAATCGTCCTGGAAAGCGGGCAAAAAACTGCCATCCCGCCTACAATCCAGTATCATTCGAATGATCGACTGCCAGTGGTGAAACTGGCAGTGACTTTGTGAACAGCGGAAGAAAATAGGAACTGCGGAACAAATGGACGATTAGTCTCT